GGGGGGGGCTGTCTTAAAAGGACTGATTATGAATTTTATGAATTTGATCCCTTTGTAGTCGTGAAATGCAGTGTAATAACCAGTAGTTTAAAGTCCGAATAGCAATGGGAGACTATTTGGACTCGAGTATAGACCTCGCTTACGGTACAACCGGTGATTGCGCAGGCGCACTGGAATTTGAGTTCGAATAGCCTCCAGCAGCTGTTCTGACTCGAGTCCGAAGAGCCACTTCGATGTTACATAGTACCAATGATAGTACATAACAAGATGGGCCACTTCTCTCTTTGAGCCAATTAAAAAAGTGTCCTCCAAATTTGGTGGCGCCCTCTTCACAAAAGCGCACTCTTTGCGAACAGAGTTACCCTACTTGAGTTTTAAAAAATCAAAGTGAAACTAGCAAGTTTTGGGATAAATTTCGGAAGAACGCTTTTTTTTAATGGTTACGCTGACAAAAAACCTCTTCCGGAGGAAAGGGTGATGGTTTTCTTTGTTTAATTTGACTTTAGAATGAAAGGCGAGAGGTCATTAAAATATAAAAAAACTAAAACTCCGCACTGAACGTACCCGAACTGCTGATGAACAGCAGTCGATCTGCGCACGCAAGGAGGTGCTATTCCTATTCTTCTTCTGGAAAAACGAAAGAGAGCTTCAAAACAGACTGCAGCGCCATCTGAAGCAAAGAGCATACTTCCTGCGGACACTTTTTAGGCTGAGTGGCCCATCTTGTTATGTATTATCATTGATAGTACATAGATCTAGATCGATTCTAGATATCTAGATCTAGATATAGATCTATCTAGATTCTAGATCTTAATCTATAGTCTATTGCTGCTGACTGAACTGAAGAAAAAAGAATTCACAAACAAAAAATGGCACACAATAGACTAACTAGAATCTAGATCTAGATCTATAATCTAGATCTAGAACTTGGTTTGAGCTCAAAAGTCAGGAAAGTTAAAAACAAGAAAGTGGCTATTCTCACCCGCCCGGAACTTCTCGCAAGATCAACTCCTCCCCTCTTCTGTCTCTCTCTGTCTCTTTCTGAATACTGTCTATCGGTGTGGACGATCTAATTGACCAAAACAAAGTTTAAAAATGATGTTAAAACACAAAAGTAAATTAATTTGGTTGTCTACAAAGATGCTACGGCTATTTAACTTTTCGAATCGAGCCGAACTACGCGGGTCGCCATTTTGTTTTGCCCGGAAATTCTCGCGCTACTCCTCTCTCTCTTTCTCTCTCTCTCTCCACTGCTCACAGACAAAATTGTACGCTTTTAGTAGGCTACAGTTGTAATGGAACGTTTGTTCACGGCACAGAATTCTACAATTTTTCCTCACAGTGTAGAATTCTATGGTTTAGGGTGAACGCAAAATTTGGTGAACGCGCACCGGGTGAGAATAGTCACAAGACTCGCCTGCACTATTCTCACTCCGGGTGAGAATAGAGGTGGCCATTATATAAACTGTCTTCCAACACAGTTTGCAAATTGCAGATAGATGTGTTTGAAATATCTATGGGAAAAAGTGCATATATGTCTACCACTACCAGCAGCTGGACTAGACTAGATCTAACATACATGTGACTTGTCACTGAGATCCAAAGCTGTGAGGGATGAATTTTTCCTGTATGAATGCAGCATGGCTTTTGTCTTGTTCAAAGTGTCAATAATCAAAAATCGAAGAATTGGAAATGTTAAAATCTTTTCTTTACTTGTCTTCAGAATAAAACCCATCGAGGTTTACTTCACTTGTTTCATCTAATAAATGTAGATGAACAATGGCGCTGGATGTGTAGCAGAATGTTATGGCTCAGTATAAGCACTAATGGCCTCACGGAGTGAATCTGGTGCCTCATCCCCGAGAGCAGGACTGGTTACATGTCCAACCTGCGAATACTCTGTCCCCCAAGCCCCTGGAAAGAAGAGAACAATTTGCCCAAATTGTGGAAACTTTTACAGCAAAGAAGCAGCTGAAATTGCAACCTCTTTTCAACGTAGTTCAAGAAGTCGAGCTTCGAATAAACAGAACAATGAGCAGCCCCAGCACAGCTCCCAACAAAGAAAACCTCCTGTAAGTATATTTAATACAAAATGACTATTTCTCCGATGCTCGGGATAGTAAACTTCAACTCTATTTCTCCGAACGGTTTCCGTTTTCGAGTTTTGTTGGTTATTTGCGACAGTTCAGCGTCATCTTTCATTCTGCCTTTCTGCGAGGACTAGGAAGATGCATTTTTTTTTTTTTTGCAATTTCTAGAGAGCAGATAGAAACTTTTAGTGGTCTGAATATCAGGGGCGAAGCGTCTATATAATCAAATAATCACTGCTTCCCTTTCTAATTTTGAAACATTGTCGCTGTCAAATTCATCCTTAAACGTAAACCTCATAAATTAAATGTCAAAAGACGTTCGTAATCAACAAATAAAGTGAGGCTGGAATAGAGTTGAAGGGAACATGTGCATGGCAGTCAAAGCTGTTTCATTGCCACATATACCCTGTTCACCCCTTTGGGGCCACAGTTAAAATCAATCACCAGCCTTGATTAAGTAAGCTAACTAACACTGGTCGAGTCTACCTCACAAATGTGAGGGGAACTAACTCTTAATAATCTCTTGACTGCTGCTTGTGCTTGTTTTTTTTCCCTCGACTTTTTACCGTCCTATAATCAGATCGTGACCTCGATTATGACACCAGCTCCTGGCCGCGAAAGGCTAACAAAAACAGCCAAATGTGAAATTTAAAAAATAATAATTGTCATGTTCTACCAAAGAGTTAGACTCACTGGTAGATTTATAACATATAGATCTAGTACTGACATCTCTGCTTCTTAGCTTTATGTTTATGTATTCACATCTAAAGTTAAGTTTAATTTTAGTGGGAACTGATATTTAATAAGATACTTTCCCGATTATTTTGGCGGTTGAACATACAATATGAATTCCGGATTTGTTTTCATTCACAACTCAGGGTCGCCGCCTCGAGTAAGATTCTTGTGTGATATCTACAGGCCCTATCTGGTCCCATTTCACTTTGATTACCCTGTCAAACAAGTCAGCCTTCGCCCCTGCTGAATATTCAGGTACTTCAATTGTAGTTGGGGCAATGTTCCCGGACTATACTGCCTTTGAAAATGCCTTCAAAAGGTACAGCGAGAAAACAAGACTGCTCGACTTTGGCTGTAACCTGTTTTGCATTTAGTATGATTTCGTCTCCCCTAAAGCAATTTAAATCACCAAAAAAAAAATCCCCCCTTGCGCCCCCCCCCCCCCCCGTTTCACACCTTACACACACAGACACATGCACACTCACACAGTACACACACGCACACACACATACACACATGCGCCACTCCATTCGCAAATGACCAAAAAATCTCGAGAATGGAAACCGTTCGGAGAAATAGAATTCAAGTTTATTCTCCCGAGCGTTCGGAGAAATAGAGCCGGCCTTTAAAATATTCTGGGGTTTTTTTTCAAAGCAACGCTCTGTTTTTTAATAATATAATAAAAGATGGATTCTTTAAATTATTAAAGCTCAACATCTTCATGATACTCTTTATTACAGTTGAGCTCAGATAATTCAAACAAACAGAAGGTAACTGAACCATAACGGTATGATTTTATTATATTAACTGCAGTGATTCTTAAACTTTCAGAGGGATGTTTCGAGCAGCTCATCTCGAAAAGTTTGATAAAATATAATGTTTCCAATAATTGTCTTAAATTAAAACCGCCCTGTGTGCATGAAGAGCTTGTATGTGGCCTATACCCTGCCAGGGGTGAAAGGCATTGATGATGATGATGTGTGCATGATGGAAAACAAACTCAGCAATCATCATGAAGGGTATTAAGTTGCATGAACCCTCGGACAATATGATACACACACATTGCCTACATTGAAAGATTATTATATCCTCACACATTACCTGTTGTGTGTGTAAAACACTAGATCTCCCTTGAATTTAGTCATGTGAGAGAGTATGCTGGATGGTGGGGTGTGATCGAAGACAGACAGTGTTGCACTGCATTAGTAAACTGTATATTGTGTGAATTGTGCTTGGATGCAGGTGTGTGTGTGTATGTGTGTGTGGACATGAAGGTATGAATCAGGAAGTGATTTTATGAGTAGGGTGAGTGTCATGTGTTGGTCAAATCGTCTTGATCGCAATCAGCATTTAAAAAATATAAGGTTCATCAGCTTCACCGTCTTGCTTTCTTTTGCTTTGACAATGGGTAAGACACATGCCACTATCCTTCCATCTGTCCTGTTATCGATTCCAGATATTTTTCAAGATGGCACTGATTTATTTGCCAACCATTATGATACTCGACTGTCACAGTTAGTTTCCTTGATTTTCTTCAATTCTTCAATATCTTTGTAATTTTCTCTTTTTTGTTTTGTTATCACAGTTCCCTCGAATTATAGTTATTTGTGTCAAACATATTTGTTGTTATATCCGTGCTCAAAATATTATTTCCAGTGAATTGATCAACACATGCTAGCCCTATTTTCTTTCTCTTAACGTCAGTGCTATTATTGCTTACACCAGGTACTCATCTCACAGAAATATGTTCATGAATTGGTTTTGCTTCTTTTCTCTTATTTGAATTTTTAAAAGATTCAAACTTTTGAAAAAAAATGCTCACTTAAGTTAAGAGTGTTTCTTTCCTTTTGACATATCTTATTGTGCCTTGCTTGACATAAATTTTGAAATTTACACATACCATACATAAAATTAGAATTGTTGAATTTTATAGATAAAAATGTACGTCTACACTCTTTTATCTGAGAAAAATGTGAGTCTTTTTTTCAAAAGGGGATGAGCGATGGGAATGTCTGATTTGTTCCTCATTGATGAATGAATTGTAATCTTTGTACCGGATAGTGGTCGGTACAGAGTTTCACATCATGTTATTTAGTTTTCTGAATGTTCACGTTTTCAGAATCAGTACCATTGGTACTGAATACCTGGGACTAAAATGATTTTGTTCTATGCTTATTTTACCGACTAAATGACCTTAAAGTGCAGAGCGCATCAGAAGAAGGGACTGTGTAAGAGTGCCATCCTATGAACAAAAATTGCATCATGAGTTCCTTTCCAATTTCTTTGTGTTATATTTACCCTTGCAAACAAGTATAATAACATGTATAGATGTGTATAATATAGAATCTACATGATTATTACATTGCATTGATAGAGACTATCATCACTTTAATTATGTACTGCTTCCTTATTTAAAAAGTTTCTTTTAATTTTTACCGATATTTTTAGCAACTGGCATATGTTTTCACAGAATTGTATCTATCTAACCTTTTCAAATATATTCCACTCTGAACTGTATTAAAGAATTTTGATCTTTGAGTGTGTCCATTTACGAACACAAATTTGCATAATTTTTCCACAGGAGTCATCAGGTGGGAACGAAAACAGGAGTAGGTCCGGAGGCAGACTGGGGACGATCAGCAGCTTCTTTCAAAACTTGACACCAAATTCTCGGAGGTCTTCACGAGAGGCAAGAAGTGAATCAACGTCTCCTTTCGAAACCTCTAATGCTGGAGCAAAAGACTCTTTGCCACCAATAGACAGCAACAGTCGGTCTCATCTGACAAGTCGGAATGGTACACCTTCCTACTACAGCAGCAATAACAGCAACAGCAAAACAGGGGCTACTGATGGGGCTGGGGGACAAGGGTCTCCATGTGGAGAAAACTGCATTCATCATAAAAAATCTAGCAACAGTCGGAGAGGTCAGAGGGAAGAAGATAATAGTCACAGCCACCATCACCACCATCACCATTGTGGAAGTCATCATCCGCAAAAAAACAGTCTTTCTCCTCGAGTATTAAACTCTGGGCCAAGTCGCTCGTCAAGCACCCCATCCAAGTCCAGTGGAGATATCAATGGAGACAATCATGATGAAGTTGTGGGTCCAGTTCGAACAAAAACTGTAGAACAGCTCAAGTAAGTACACTATCTAAGTCCTGAATAAATTCCTATTTTTTTTGTGCGCCTCTATATTATATTCGCGACCCCAGTGCTTTCTTGTCGTATCTCCATTTTTTTAAACAGTGAAAATGTGACTTCTTCTTAAGATCATTTATTGTTATTAACTGTTTTCACTGTTATTAAAAATGGAGATACAACAAGAAAGCATTGAGGTCGCATTATAGTTACGAGTAATGTCTTCACACACTGGAAAATGTTTCAGGTAATGATAGATAGTTATATAATCTTAATTCGGCTAAAAGTAAAGAATAGAGATGCTTTTAAAGCTTCCAGAAACTTACTCCTCTCGCAAGATTTGCTTTCTTTTCTCATTTTCATGTGTTCATTTTGTTTTTCTCAGTCTTATAGAAAATGCTCAGGGTAGCCAATGCCTTCTCTGTAAATCTTCACCAGCGTGATCTGTAGCAAGGACATATGAACCCATGGTGGAGAAAAGCTTTAATGCAAGACACAGTTCCTTTTCAAGACCCTTATTTTTTAAAGTTATTTTTAAAAGCTCAAAAGATAACAGTGAGTTGTAGTGAGAGAAAAATCTAGTAAAAAATTTATGTATTCAAATTTACATCAAGAGATTTTATTATAAATAACAGCTGAGACAATTTATTCTTGTTCTGTGAAGGCTGGTCGCCTTAAATTCCAAAAGAAAAGTATTTATCACTCCTGTCAGGGTTATGATGCATTGTTAAACCAAAACACAAATCCAAATTGTTTGCCTGTTTATTAGATTTTCCTACATGAAGAGTAACAGCCTTCTTTGAATGAACGAAACAGGAACTGTAGTGCTGTGTGGGAAGACATCAACATGAATTTTTATATCTCTGTTGTTTGGTTTTGGTTTTTTTCTTAGATTTAATGCCCTACTGAAAACAACTAGGTCATTCCTCTGAAATTTGAGTGAAATAAAGCATCACATGATGGAAAAAAGTGATCTCTATAGCGCTGAGGACCAGTTGTATTTTCAAGTGTGCGATCCCTGTCATCATGTACTGTTTAGGTGAGATTTTTCTGAATTTTCTCTTTCAGAGCTGATTTTGTTACTGCAAAGGAAACAGGAAATTGGAGAATACTGCTGGACTTTTACTCAATGACTTTCGATTCGTTTGTTGAGCTAAATGCTGCTTTCAAGGTAATTCAATGGAAGAGAAAAGTCATGATATTATTTTGCCACTTTCATCTCTTTTTTTGTTTTTTCTGTCTATTTTTAAAAAAATGATTTTTGGAACATTTTAAAGTCGGGGTTTGGGTCATCCAGTGTCATGCATGTACAGTCAAACCTGCTCTAACGACCACTTGTCCAAGACAATCACTTGTACAAACCACCACTTCTCACCCCCCCCCCCCCCCCCCCCCCCCCCCCCTTGCATTTTTTTAAAAACATTATGACTCTGTCCAAGACACTCACCTGTCTAAGACAACCATTTTTCTTATTGACAACGGGTCTCCATCTTGGACAATTTTGACTGTATTTGGGCTCTAACACAGTCTTGCCTCTTTTTAATATTTTGCAAATAACTTGAATTCGAGGGTTTCTTTAAAAATTGTGAAAAAGCTAATTCAAGTAGCACCCAAAAAAAGGAATACACAGTAGTCATTTGGGTATGTTTTTGAACACACGATAACCATAGGTCAAAAACTAGACGCTGCACATTGGCAACCAGCAATGATTGTGAATTTTTCATGCTTTTACCTATGGGATCAATAAAGTAGAATTTCTTAATTTTGTTTTTATCCTTATTTGATAGATGTGTTCAAATATATAGTGACGGCAAGACTTGTCGGTCACAGCTGTAGTGGCAGTCAAAAGCAGTACATGATTGTTAAAGCCATAAGCTTTAGGTTGTTGAGATGAAAGCACGGTAGCAGCTAGTATGATTTTAATTCAATACAATCATAACTGTTTTGTTTCCTCTCCGCTTCCTCAATGCAGCGAGACCCAACAAAGGACTATAGGACAACAGAAGATCCGGGTCTGAAGTTTGATTTCATCAGTTTGGTGTATGACATACTCATTAAAACGGTAAGCTTTCCCATTTCTTAAGAAATAATTATATTTGAAGACAGTTTTATTTTTCTCAATTACTGTATGGTTTATTATTAACTGGGGACATGTACTTCAGATATCCATTGCATGCTTCTGGTAAATATAATAATTACTCACAACATTTTGACTGAGGTATATTTTAGATCTCATTAAGCTTTGGCTGATATTGCTAATAAAACTATGGTGACTAAAAGAGGACAGGAAATAGGAATGCACAAAGTGACTTTCATAGACTTTTTCCTAAGAATATGAAATGACACTTTCAAACGGAATGTCTGGAAAAACTTGTGGGCTGCTGATCTAAAAGTGTTGTAGTCATACTTATTTTCAAAGAAGAAAATTGCTGAAAACGCAAATACCAAATGCTTTGTACAATTGAAATTTATTGTGATTGAATGAAATGAGCCCCTCCTATTGAGACTTCTATTTTTTTCAGTTTTCATTTTCGTTTTTGAGTAAATACTAATGTTTTTCACTGTCAGTCAAATGTAATTGCCTTCTGTGGTGTAGTGGTTAGGTATCTTCCTATCCTACACAAGAGACGCGAGCCTGATTCCCACGTGGGAAGAATTTTTATCAAGTGTCTCTGTCTTTCTGCTGGGATGTTGTATCCCTATATACATAGGTCGTCCCTGATGGCAGGGTTTCCACTGAGCCCTAGTAGTTACTTAGTAACACTTTGCCCATAGAAAAACATACACTGGGAGAAAGGCCAACATTAGCTTGTGACAAAGTGTTACAAAATTCTTGTGCCTGTTGTGTTGTGGGTGATGGCCTACGCAAATTAGAAAATTTTAAAAAAATAGATATGATGCTTAGCATGTTATGTAGTGATGTTTGTTTGTTTAGTAGAGGTTTTACGGCACTTGCAACTACATTTAAAGTCATATGAGCGCCAATGTAGTGATGTACAAGTAATGATTAAGATCAAAAGCTTGGGACACGTTCTGTCATCTGTCGGTTTCTTTTGTTTTTTCAAGAGTCAAGCCAGAGGCCAATAATGGAACCCCCCCCCCCCTCCTCTTTGTTTACATTACACTTATCCTATAACCCCTATCCTTGACACTGACACCTCAGGGAAAGAGACTGTCCATGGCCATGGTATGATTACTTCTTAGCTCTGACATCTTTTAAAAAATCACTTTGAAAATGGTTGCAAAATCCAGGAGGAAACCAAGAAAAAAACAGGAAATTTTTCCCCCTGGTGAGTGAGAACCCTGTGACAGGCAGGGTTGAAGCCTGCCTCCTAAACAGTCAAAATAATGTTGACAGGGCAGTAAAAATATCTTCATTTTTTAAAAAAGAAAAAAATCTAATGCCAACATAATGTAACTGCCGTTTCTGATTCTATTCTGAATTTAAACAAAATTCATTTAAACCAAATAAAAGTTCAAATATTACCAATGTCAAACTGAAGTGATGTTTTAGTTGAAAGCCCAATAGAATTAATCAAATCAACATTGATTATTCTTGGTATTTAAAACTTGTAACTGTTATATTTCATTACACATGACACTGATACTCTCTACTCCTCTTCACAAACATTAATTTATTGTTTGTGAGGAGAAGTAGAGGGTATCAGTGACATGTGCTGACACCCTTAAGTCAAATACATGTATTGTAATATTTTCATGATTGTTGAACGAAGCTGGGTGGAGCTGTACTATTCAGACATTGATCTTTATCTTATATTAGTTTCGATCTTTTCCTCTTGACTGAATTACATGGTTGTACTCTGGGAACTAAGGGTTTTGCCTGTTAGTGCAAAATAAAGATTTGTTCTAAACAACCGGCTTCCTCAAGTGAATTTAAAATTAATCTCTACAAAGTGTTCTTTTGTGTTCTTCTTGTTTTTTGCTGTCCTTGTAAAATTTAGTTCACTTTTTCATGTTCTCGGAGCGGATAAGGTAACTTGAATTTTATTTCTGTTAAACAACATAAAGAACAATGAACGTTTCTTTTTTTTTCCTGCTTGAAGATTCTGGACCACAGTGAGCCAGAAGATATTACTCTTCAGCAAATTTAATTCGCATTGTTTACATTTTGTATAGCTCACAGTATTGCAATGTTATAAAAGTGTCTTGAACATAATATTGAAACAAGTAGTGTAAACTTTGTGACTCGAAAATATATTCCTCCTCCTTCTACTACTGCTCATTCTCCCCTCTGTCCTCCTCCTCCTTCCCCCCTTCTCCCTTCCCTTCCCCTCCTCCACCTCCAACTCTTCCCCTGCTACTCCAGATACTCATATAATATTACTCAAAGAAGAAAAGGACAATTTTATTAAAATTAAACATCTGTCGCCACATTAAGATTTTTTCAAATATTGTTTTGAATTAAACATCCGCCAGGACAAAGCATGGTTTGATTTTTGTCTTTGCTTGGGTCGTGATGTTGCAGAACGCTGAAAACGCATGCTCTATAATAGTTACCAATGTCGGGATCTGTACCATTTATTAGGCGTTTTGTCTCCTGTTAATGAGACTCCAGCTGTACGGCTCAAGTCTTGAATGTGCATCCAGATTAAGGATACTGTTTTGTGAACATCAAAGTCACATTTTGTGCGGGAAAGGGGGGGGGGGTAAAAATAAAAGCACTTGAATAATTTGTTTTTCAAATATGCCTTTGTTTTGTGGCTGACATCAGACAATTGGTTTTGGATATAAAATAATATAAGGAATTCTTTATCAATTCAGTTCTTTTTTGTATATTCTTGGTTGTTGTTTGGGGGGGGGGGGGGCACCTTTGAAATGATCTAAGTGTGTCTAGTAGGAAGTAATAATCCCACAAAAATAATAATCCTCTCCCTGTCTTGTTTGAAGAGGGAGCTATTAATGTATGACCTGATTTTTAGCCATTTCTGTTTTTGTTTTTGTGTGTGTTTCTTCAAGAAGCCTTTCAAACTGACTGAAAGAACATTACGCAGGAGCAGTTCACGGAGTACGGTGTCATATAATAGCTTTCTAATGTTTATTGGCACTATTTCTTCAATAAAGTATATGTCATTTCCGGAACCGACTTATTGGTGCCGATCAATTTATAGTGCTGCAGTTCCTTGATCACATACTTTTTTTTTAAAGCATGATTAGAACAGTGTCAGACAGAGTCAGTCCCTTTCGGATCGATAGCCTCAGCTCCTGCTTTGTCAAACCGATCGATAGTTATTGATCAGACTGAATTTACCCGTAATGACGCGTGAGCATAGTCCCCCGGGCAATAGTCTCCAACATGGCCCCAGGCGTTGAAATGTTCAACGCCCTCCCCTTCTTCTCCCTCTCTCCCCTTCTCTCTCCGTCTCTAACCCTCTCATCCGTTCCTCCCCTCTTCCCCTTGCCTGGTTTCCTGCTTCTTTTCACCCCCCCCCCCCTCCTTCTATCTTCTACCCCCACCCCCCTTCTACCTTCATTCCCTCTCGTCCTTTCACCCCCCTCCTCACAATTTTATTCTTTAAATCCTGTTCTTTTTCTTCATCCTCCTTTTTTCCAAACCTTTGTCCAATCACTCTCTTATTTTTTTTTAGTCCTCTGTTTTATTACCTCGAAGTTGCACGAAGAAAAAACTACGAGGACGTGAGAAAGCAGGACTTTCAATTGTCACTCACTTGAACTCTGGAGACTTTTGTTGCTTTGTTGCTGCCAAGGTTGTACGGGCAAGTCTTTGTAGTACTAGAGGCTGCCTGATCTATAAGACTTTATAAGAGGGGGGGGGGGTTGTTAGTTTTTGGGAGCTTGATTTGTTTAATGTTGTTGTATATAGGGAAAGGGAGAGAGAGAGAGAGAGAGAGAGAGAGAGAGAGAGAGAGAGAGAGAGAGAGAGAGAGAGAGAGAGAGAGAGAGAGAGATTTAGTTTGTTGTTTTTATTTATTTTAGGGAGGAAGATAAAGGACACGGGCATAATTTATAAAGCTTTTATTATGAGAGCATACGCCATGTTAGCCGCCGTTCCCAGCAGACACTCTGTTTGACAAAGAATAAAGATAAATCGATAAGAGTAGACTGCCCCCGCCCCCCCCCCCCCCCCGAGCAAAATTCAAAATTTCCTACCAACTGAAAATGTTTAATATGTCCCGCTCGATCGTTTGACCGTATGCGGTTGCGAGCGCCATAAAACACTTTTTTATAATAATAATAAGAATAATAATAATAAGAATAATAATGATAATAATATATAATAATAATAATAATAATAATAATAATAATATAATAATGATAATATAATAATAATATAATAATAATAATAATAATAATAATAATAATATAATAATAATAATAAAATAATAATAATAATAATATAATAATAATAATAATATAATAATAATAATAATATAATAATAATAATAATAATAATAATAATATAATAATAATAATAATAATAATAATAATAATATTAATAATAATAATAATAATATTAATAGATTTAAGGCAGAACAATACTGTTATGCCGGCTTACGTGTCACAGCTAGGGATACAGATGATCGGTTAAGTTGTTTTTGCTCCTATTTCTACTCAAAGTGACTCGCTCGTTCCCTCGTGGTGTTGGGAACAGTTGTCGATGCCGTTCGGTTTTCTATCCCTTGAATCTAATATTTGAGTCATATAATGCTTTTAGGTTTTGCTGCTTGCTCTCAGATCAGATTCCCAATTTACATTTTAGCATTGCCTTTTTAAATCAATACATGTGATTGAAGTGATTAATTTTGGTTTGCTTGTTTGTTGGGTTTTCGTGATTGGTTTTGAGAGTGTTGTTGTTGTTTTGGGTTAGGTTGTTCTTTTTTAGGGGGTTGTTGTTGTTTGTTTGTTTGTTTGTTGTTGTTGTTTTTTAAGGCGACAGCAGTGTCTTTGATGATATTATTATTGTGGCCAGCTTTTTGGTTTTTTACCAATGAGTACAAAGGGCACGAGATTAATCCCCATTAGGGAAATATATATTTTTTAATTGAGTGCCTCCGTCTTGCTGCTAGGCATATCGAATCAACC